AATAGCCTAAAAATCTAAGTAACTACATGGTACAGTAACGGCCAAACTTACTTGAGGCAAGCTCTTAGCACAGGGAAAGGTGTCGGATCCTATAACCTTACCTGGCTGACACTTTCTACAAGTCCTATTAATGAGGTTGTAAAGATCTAGCAGCCGAATCTGGATCGCTTTTCTACACAAAACGAGAGCGGAAAACCAAAGCAGCAGGGGTGGTTAGCTTGCGTGTGAGATCATGCATGTCCCTATATACGACTGAGCAGAGGGCGTTAGACGCAGCAGGCAGCGTGCATGAGCTTTAGCGGTGCGGGGAGCTCTGAAAGCCCCGGAAAAGCTGCTGTCGAAGTAGACTGCTGTTGCCGACTGCAGCTCTGCCAGCCGGCTGAACAGATTGCCTGGTGCATGAGAGCAGCATGCAGTAACGGGAACAGGAGCGAAACGGCGCTGTGCGGTGCTTGCTGCAGAGCCGGGCGGGAGAACTAGCGGGGTTATTTAATAGCTATTTATCAGTTAAATGTTCGTCCTCTAACCAGTGCTATAGGAAATAGGGAAAAGCAGGACTGCTGCCTAACCGCCTCACCATCCACATCTCTGGGCAGCGAGTGATTGTAGGAAATGTTTCCCCTATGCTACCTCTGCCCCAATCCCTACCTTTCTGGAGGGACTGAATCTACAGGCAGTGAAAGCAGGCAGAGCTTCGCACATTGATCTCAGTGCTGTCAAAATCCAAGCTTTTAGAGGATTGCCTGCGTGGACCTCCAGCCAAAATTACCAAGATGAGGACAACAGGAATAAAGGAGAAGTGTGAGCGAGTCATCTTAGGTCGGAATAGCTTTTGAAGCCTTTCTTTTCCCCTGGCCACTAATAAGGGACAAATGTTGGAACAAAAGGGTTAAATGTAAGCTGTGCTCAGATAAACAAATCTAGGGGAGAGGAAGGAGTTGCCATGCCAGCTGACACTGAAAGCAGCCAGCACAAAGTTGGCACGTAGGAGACTGTCTAAAAACCTGCACCGAGCTCCGAGGCTCAGCGTACGCAGCCTGTTTCCTGCCACTCCTGCTCACTTTAAAGCAGAAGCAACAATTGCCTGCACCGAATTTCTCATCCGGTGGCGGTTAGTGAGAAGGTAGTTGTGTTTTCTAGGGCTCGGTAATTAAAAACCGAGGAAGAAAGTGTAATAGATGTGCAAGAGAAGGGCATAAACGATCTCAGTTTCTGCCACCAACTCTATACGTAGCCCTTGATGAGCTCCTTAATTTCTGCTTTGTTTCCTTGCACGTCTTGGTCAAGAATATAAATAAGCAGTATTTCTTACATTTGATTTTTCTGTTGGTCTTTCTAACTGACAGTTCAGCACTCTGGAGGATCTTATTTAGGGCCTTTAAGTAGTACAGCAAATAACGTCTAATTAATAGTGACAATTGTAGCTCTTATGGAAGATTTGCTTTACTTCTGAAAGAGTGAGGCTTACCTATTCAAGCTGGTCAAATAGTGGATAATACTATCTGTCAGTACACTGGACAAACCGTCCTGTGTCAAGTATACCATTAGCTGCCTTAGGAGCTTATTGGCTATTGCAGACAATTATTGATTAAAAAAAAAAAGTGATCTAAGGCATTGCTTAATAGCTGCTGTTGCCACCACCTTTCTACAGCTTGGGCTGTGCTGTGGCTGCTGTTATAACAGCGTGTTTGTTCTGTGCTGCTATATATGTGAGGAGCACAGATGCTGGTGTAAGTCATGAGTGCAACCCTTGAGTGAAAACCCTGTTCTTCTTTAAAAAGTGCTTTTAGAGAGGGTACTGAGAGTTTGACTCCTGTTTCAGGTTGCGCTGTTGAATTAGTATGGAGGAACTCGTGTCAATAACTACTTCTTACTCTATAATACCATTTAAAGGGTGATATGCCGAAAAAATGGGACATCCAGACTTCCTACAACCCCAAACTTCCTACCTCAAACACAAATTAAGGCCTTGTCCCTATATAGGTCAACACGTTAAATGTTGACTGCAGAAATAACCCCAAGGAAATTCATCACACTCTCGGGCTGGAGTAAACATACCCCCTGGGCTAGCTTTCTGTCGTATAAGCATGCTTAAAACCATATTCTGGTTTGGGCTATATAAACACATGGCATCACAGAGCAGGGCAACTGCAGCACTCAGGAATTTAAAGCCAGATGGTGGCTCTATGCTCCCTCACACTATACTGTATTTATTTATTTATTTATTTTCCTTAGATGGACTTTGACTTTTAGCTGTAATTCAGAGCATAATGTTCAGTACAAATCTAATTGGCTTTCCAGTGGCTTAACTTATTAGTGCAAATTAGGTTGATGGGATCAAGTCTAAAAGCCTGCATAATTAAAGGTTCTGCAGGAACTTTCTTAGGTACATTAGAAAAATCTCAGCTATAGAAAATGTATGTTCATAAAATGGAAGTTTGCTGTTGCAGCACTCAGAAAATTAACACTGCTGAAAATGTGAATCCGTTCATAATGTCCAAACACAGTAAAATGCAGATGCAAAAAAATGCAAATATATTTGGCTATATATAAAAATGATCATTTTTTTTACAATGAATATAAAAATGAATATGAACAGCAATATAAAATGATAGTAAAAATGTCTATTACACAGAGCTACATTAATATAATGTTCTAACTACTATTATAGATGTCACAAAATTCAAAATCTACTAAAACTGTAACATGACTATAACCTTCTACAACCGAAATATGGGTATTTTTTCCTTCTTCTTTTTTAGATTATGGGAAAAAAATAGCTAAATCTACCTGTAAATCTTACAAAGAACTTTTTTTTTGACGAAACAATGTAAGGTGCCAGGGTGCCAAGAATACCAAACTTCAGTCAGATATTTCATACTGCCCTGATCTTCTTCCAACAAGAATTCTGGAAAGTTTGAAATATCGCACTTCAGGATTTAAGCCGCGTTCTACAACCGATAAACTAAAACTGGATTTTTCATGAGTCGCATTGTTCTTCCTGCATTGTTCTTCATGAGTCTGTTTTTACAGCTTCCTTTGATTTTTCTCCTGTGGGTCACTGTAAGATGTAGGATACTGAATGAGGTGGCTTCACATGAGGAACCAATTCCTTTATGAGCTATTGATTTGAAGGGCAACAGGCTACGAGCTTTATGAAAGACAGGGATCAAGCAACACTGGCTTGCTCTCTGATCCTGTGCCTAACAAAGCCACAGACAAAACTCTCACAGGATGTCCTAATATTGATATTCTGAATTCAGATGTCTGCAATATAGGCATCTACGTCTAAGCTAAACATTGTCCTCTCCCTTCCTATTCCATGGACATCTCCTCAGTGGAGCTTTAGCTGATGAGAAAAAATGCATGGGAATGACACCATCAGAAATGGCTTTTTCACTCTATTAACAATAATGGAGGCCACAGCGGCTAGCACAGCTGCAGATACATGCCGCTAAAGCTAGGGGAGATGAATGCAACGATATTTGGTAAGCCCATTTTTTGGTGGGCTCCAGAGACACTCATGTCTGCCCAAAGTATTCGGCAGAGCCGCCCCTGTTATTCTCACAGCAACCTGGAGCACAGTCTTAGCACTTCTGCTCCATCTGGTTCTTCAGACTGAGGCAACAGGTTGAATGACCCTCGTCAGAAAGCGTTTGCCTAGAGTATTGTCAATGAATCTTCAGTGTGAGCAAATTAATCCAATATTTTAAAATATCCAAGAAAGCTCCCATGCGAAGCTTGAAAGTGGCTGAACCTGTGCAGAGCTGCCAGAAGAACGTGGGTGTTCAGATCATTATGTTCAAGATTAGGCCTCTAAAGTAATTAACGGGTTGAATATGCACGTCTGATGTTATAGATACTCATTCAAATGACATAGCACAGCCCATCCGAAAGGGAGGATGCCGAAAAAGATTGAAGGGGTTTGAACAAAAGCTTCAGCTTAGTCTTCCTGGTTTTCTAGACTCCCACCATCATCTTCACACTAAATCCTTTGATTTCAAATTTAGAAGATCAGAAAGCACATTTGATTTATTTTAAGTGTGTGTGCGGGGGAAAGGACCGAATTTAAAATTATTTCATGGTAAGGGTTTTGAAAAAGGATAAAATACAAAATGCATTTCTCATTGTACTGAAAATACTCCTTTTATTATTTTGTTCTCTTAGGTGCTGCCTTTCCCCTCTCCTGTCATGTCAAGCACACTATTTTTGTAGAAGTTAACTTTTTAATAAATAATTAAAAAATCATACAAATTGAGGTGTAATTTTTTTAATGCCTAGTTAAGAGGTGGTTATATGTTCCAGGTTAAAGAAGAAAAGCCTAAAGTCCCGTGGTTGTTCCAGAGGATATAGAACTAATCTACTCTAAACATTTAACATCTTAGCAGCAGATAAGACATTAGCAGTACTTTTTTTTTTTCTAGTTGTATTTGATCATTGAACACTGGCAGAGCTATCACAGCCTTGTCCAGCTCCTCTGTGCTTCCTTACGTGTGATGCAGCAGCACCACTCAGTGGCTTCGGGTTTCTCTTTTATGCATCCCCCAGCTTTTTATTTTGGAAGCAGGATATTCCATAGGAAAAAAATAAACGAATAAAGGAAAACAATTTTTAATGCACATCCAAACTTTTGAGATTTCCTATTGTAATGAATGTATTTTAGGCATTTTAGGTGCCATATTTTGGAAATGTGTAGGTTTTTCTTAACTTCCCCTGCCAAAAAAAAAAAAAACAAAGAAAAAAAAATCCCACCTGTGTTTCTCATATCTGTCCTAGAATTCGATAGCTTTCCATGATAACCAGAGACTGGATAATACAATTCAGTGGACCATCTTGTCATGTACAATTTCCAGCCAGAAGTGTAGATTATCGATCTTGGAAAAATAATTTAAAAAGAATTCTCTTGCAGTTATTCTCTGGGCTCTGATACATCTATTGCTCTTGGGTGAAGTAAACTATTATCTGGATCAAATTAATTATTTTTGTTCTCCTAATTTCAGGTTGGGAAGTAGATAACTTGGGACAAACTCATGCAGGTAAGAAGCAGTTCTGCTGACCATCTCCTTCTATATATCTCTGTTCTCAATAATTTTCTGTAAAACACATTATAATCCGAGGTTATTAAAAAATTTGTTTATGCACCAACTCTTGGGATAATCAATATAGGTAGTCCTCATGGTAGCGTTCTAATAAAAAATAAAGGTAAAAATCTGTTATGTTTCTAGAAATCAGTGTGATCTAACCTAGAAATACAAAATCAAACTATCTGACTTAAAACCAATTAGTTATTACTTGTTGTCATTGATGGATGGAACTCAGGTTTCCTGAATTCTGTGGAAAGTGTCATGCCTAAATAGTTATGGAGTTCTTTAATCTTGAAATAAATTTCTAGAAACATAATATTTTATTTTTATATTTTAAATAGGATTAGTTCTAGTTTGATTTTGTGTCTTTTTTAGCTAAGTGCTCGCTGTTTGCAGTTGTGAATGCTTAACTTTATAGGTTCAGCCTTGGTTTAAACTCACAGGTAAAGCTAGCTTTAGTTCCTCAAAAGAGAGAATCAAGAATTTGTTGATATTGGGCATGATCCAAACAAATAAAATTCAATTGAATTCTTTTCACTGACTTCCATGGAGGCCTGTTCTGGTTCTAACAGCAAACACAATCAAAACAATTTCATGCCAAATTTCTACTTTTATAGGTGATTATGACCTGCTGGAAAGCACAGCCCAGTCTCCCATAGGTAAGAAATAGAATCGTGGAATATTTCCCCTTTTTATTTTAAGTTTTCTAAAGAGGAAGTTCCAAGATTTCTCTCCTGCCGCCTGGGTATTATTTTCTAATCAGTTCTAATTATGGTGACACATTTTCTAGTGTGTTACTTTTAGCTGTATTATGAAAATGTATTCATCTATTGGGCACCGTGATCTAGCAAGTAAATTGCTGTAAATTATATCTACCTGCTTAACAATAATTACTAAATGGTGTTAAGGAAACTCAGCACTATGATTCAGTGGTTATTTTCCATAGAAAACTGGATGTGCAAAAGTAATTTATCAAAATTTGCCAAGTAGTGCAATGCTCTTAAATGGATGCTGTGATTAAATAGATGCGTTTTCTCTCATGGACGGCAAACACACTCTTCAAAACTAAGGTCACTGCTACTCTTACGAGCTACTTGACTAAACTGCTCTAAAACTCTGAAGTAGTTAATAAAAAAAAAAAAAAACTTTGAAATTTCTATTAGTTCTGATCAAGGTACAGCTCAGACTCCAGAAACTGTAATATTTCAATAAAAAATGGTCCACTGTGCTCAAGAGGAATAAACTCTAGTGTTTCAACCAGGTAACTGAGCTCTGATAAGAATAATGCTGGTCAAAAAGACCATCAAGCGTGTCATCCCACCTTAGACAGCCTCATTAACAAAGCTAGTCTTAATAGACCCTTTCCCTCTTCTATCCCCAGCTCTTACTTCCCAGTGTACTTTTAAGCCACTTGACTATGTCAGTGGAAGGTATTTAGGAGCTATTCTTTAAATGAGATTAGCTAGATCATTAGGGTAGAAACAGAAAGAGAAAATGACCTAGTTCCTCACAAGCACTTGGTTTAGCACAAGGTTATAAATTGGGATTGGTATAAGTCATAGGAAGTATAGGAACACGAGAAGCTCTGAAGCAGGTTTGTTCTCAGAGAAATTGTAAGTGAAGCCACTCAGGACATCTGCAGATGTAAATGAGCATGTCACTATCAGAGATTCCCACCCTTTCTTTCCTTTCCTAAGGATCCTTCTCACAAGCTCGCTATTAGAGCTGAGACTGGCCTTTAAGTCATAGGAGTGGCATATATTGTCCTCTAACCGTAAGGGACTGTAAATGTTTCAGTATAGAGGTATAAGGCTATTTTAGATATCCTACAGCATCCTGCCTGGTTTCGAGATGCTGCTCCAAAAAAATCGTGTCAGATCTCTGTTTTACTTGCCAGTGCTATGCCGATGCCTCAGATACAGATAGTCTAGGCCATCTCAAATGGCACAAAGGACTTATATTTAGGCACTGGACTCACCTTATAGCCATCTGAAAGGTAGATGTCTACATCAAAGCTATAGTCTCTACAAAAGTCTCAGAGTCAATGGAGAGAAATGGGCACATAGAGCCCCTTTTCTTAGATATCCACTTGAGAATGAGATCTTTGGTGCTCTATAGACACTAACTATATTAATCAGATCCCTTTTGCTCTCTGGTAAACAGCTGTAGTAACAGACATCCATTGGCGTCTACTGTAGAAGTAGGTCATTCAAGATGTCATTAAAGATTAAAGATGTCATCAAAGTCTTCTACGTGCAGTAAGATAAGTTGTACCCAGATTTGTAGTGAGGTTTTCTTTGGTCATATACCAAGGGGAAGGGAGGGTATGTCCTGTGGTTGGCTTCAATAACTTCAGTTCAACTCTACCTGATCCTTGACATAGGGGACATCAGCAGAAATTGCACTGAAGATGGCTGGTCTGAACCTTTTCCTCATTATTATGATGCCTGTGGCTTTGATGAAAATGAAACAGAGTCTGATAACCAGGTAGGAATTAATTTTATAATTAAAACCAGGTTAATGCATAAGGGGGGCAGAATGCTGCTTTTTGCTTTTTGCTCAACCTCTGATCATGTCCTGATTTGATGGTGATTAGAATGAAACAAGTAGATATATAAATTGGTATAAATACATAAGAAGTAAGCTTTTAATCTTTCCTAACCCAGTACTGAATATTTCTGGAATATGAGTGTTTACTGATGATATAGCTTGCAACTCTTAAAAGCATGTAACTCTTAAAGCCCCATTTCCTCCCCTATTGACTAAGGAACTCCTTAGCCAACTACTTATTGCTGCAGCTACCTGCACAGTGGTCAGAGAAATTATAGATACCCTTTGCTAGGTTACTGACAAATAAACTTTACATTATGTGGACCCAAGGGGATGTCAAACATACAGCAACCCATATGGATAATATACAGTGAGATATCAAGGGAACTAAAAGGAGAAGACAATCAGGATGTTCAAGAAACAAATCCTGTTTACAGATCCCCTTGCACTTTGACAGGATAAAAAAGATGTGACTGTAGATGAAGCATTTAACATTGCATTGTTTGTCTCCCAAGGATTATTACTATCTATCCGTGAAGGCTCTGTACACAGTGGGATATAGCACTTCCCTTGTTTCCCTCACCACTGCGATGGTTATCCTGTGCCGTTTCAGGTGAGTCAGGATATGAACAGTGATCTGTTCAGTCACTCGAGAAAAGAAACCAGGGTTCATCAGCCCCAAACATTTAGGTTTTTACCTCAACAGCTGCAAAATAAGAGGGAGAAGCCCCTTACTGTAGGTATTCCTGCTAGTAGTCACATTTCAGCAGACCAAAGATGGCTTTGGGTCTCCGCGTTGGGCTGGGTCTATATACTGGAAAATCCCCTAGATACACTTCTACTGGAAAATCCCCAAGACTGGATAGGTTTACGGTCAATATTACCCGCACACCTGACTTTTAGACATTGGGAAGCTTAGCACCAGGGTGGTAGGATCTCTGGCTATGGAATAGCTATGCCTAACATCCTACTTCTAAGAGAGAAAAGTATCTTTTTTTCTCCCTCTCTCTTTGCCTCTCCTTTGTTCTTTCCTCTCCAGAAAGCTTCACTGCACTCGGAACTTCATTCACATGAACCTCTTTGTGTCATTTATCCTACGAGCAATATCCGTATTCATTAAAGATGGGGTTCTTTATGCTGAACAGGATGGTAACCATTGTTTTATCTCAACCGTAAGTAAAATCAAAGCCAAAGTCTTTTCCTTGGTCTTTTCAGTATGGAATAACAAAAATGGTGAGGCAGGCAGCAGTCCACAGGGTATCAGAGGCTGAGAACCTGTTGGGGAGAAGGCACTTTGTGATAAACTTCCTCCCAGTTCACAGTAAAACCGTGGTTGGGATAGTCTGATGATAAAATTAGTGTCCAAGGAAGTGTGCTTTAGGACAAACCCTCAAGTTTCAATTTCTGACTCTATTCAGGTAGTTTCTCCCTTTCCACAGATCTGTATAACTATAGTTGGATGAGAGCACAGACAAGCAATTTCCTTCATCTAGGGTCTATATTTTCTCCATAGACTTATTTTCTCTGGATAGTGTGGGGAGAGGGGAGTGTCAGGTGTAAAGAGGGTGACCACGCAGGTATAGGAAATGCCCCTGATGGCCATACCTACCCTTCCCAGTCTCAAAAAAATCATCCACATTGGCTATGTGTTTGTCCCTGAAAATAAATCTTTTCAGTGTGTAGTTTCATGGAAAGCAGTCTCTTTCACTGATGCACTTAACTATATATTGCATGTAAATCTTAAATTGGTTTAAATTTAAGGGTAGTATTCGATCTAATAGATCAAATACACTTGGAGTAATTATGATGGAGTTATAGTGAGTTCCCAAACTGAGATCTTCTTTATCCAGCCATGAGCTAAATTCCCTATGAGTCACTTCCATAAGAAAAGCACATCTGTCTGATTTCTTAGTCGGTCTTTTTTTTTTTTTTTGGTCATTTAAACAAACAAATTTTTGCTATTAATTCTCCTTAGTGGTAAAACTGGACCCATACTAGATCCGAAGTTTGTTCAAACCTCCCTTCAAACAAGGGCACTGGCCTCATTGTTTTGAGCCACCTGAAGCACAAAACATATTAAAATCAGTGAGCTAATGGGCAGCTCTTCAGCTGGCATAAACTGGCAGAGCTTCTTCAAAGTTCTGATGGTTTATGTTGGCTGTAGACTTGTCTCAGAGGATGGAGTACAACTGGAACTAGCCAAACTTGTCAAGCTCCCACTGACTCAGGAAGGATGTTCCAGGTTGCAGGCTGCTTCTGCTGTGACATATTGAGCAGATAGTTTTGTAGACCTAATGATATCGCCCTGCGATGCAACACCGGAAAGCCAAGCGCGTCCTACTCTTGCAGAGTCAGGGCAGAGCGTGGTTTCCACCTGAAACTTTTAAAGTGTTTTTTTTTTTTCCCCCGACCCTTTGATATTGCTTTTTCCCCCCAAGTAAATGAATGAAACTGTCTATCGCTCTGAACAGTAAATCACTCTGCTCTCTTTCCACTTAACGCTCACTTTCATTTTCTATCCCTGAGTGACAACTCCTGCAAATTGTGCAGAAGTACAATTCTAAACTCCACACAGGAGGGTGCATCCTTTATGCTCCCACTCTCAGGGCTTTCCGCAATCATCTTGCCATTTCAAATCCTTCCTTAAGTTTCTTGGTAAACAACCGAATTCTTTTCTTGCCTGCACTTAATTCCTAGAAGGGGGCTTGAATCTAGCAATTAGCGTCCGTTGTCGACGGGAACTGCCACTAATGCAAGAAGTTCTCAAGCTGTCTGCAGGCACTCGTCGACCACCTCCCGTGGATAAAATTGGCTACCTGCCCTTTAAAGCGTCACCATCTTAAGAGGGCCCCTCACATTCTTTTCATGCTTTTAAAATTTTACTATTGGGAGTATATAATACAAATGCCAACAGTGTTCCTCTCCACTGATGGATTTGGAGAGGTTGAAAGCATTTTCTCTCTCTGTTAATCTCAGAGAAAGCAACATGGAAATAACTTTATTTTTGCTTGATTCTCTGCAGGTGGAATGTAAAGCTGTCATGGTCTTTTTTCACTACTGTGTCATGTCCAACTATTTCTGGCTATTCATTGAGGGATTGTACCTTTTCACTCTACTGGTGGAAACCTTTTTCCCAGAGAGGAGATATTTCTACTGGTATACTATTATTGGCTGGGGTACGTGACATTTCTTATGTGTAAGGTGTCTTGGTGTGCAAGAAACTTTCTTCTTTCTCCTGCAAGTTTCGCTGCAGGCAGAGGATTGAACTGCTTGATATTTCCACATACCAGCTTGAAGTATAGTTTCAGTCTTTGTACAGAAGGGCCATTGCAGACCAGACTGCGTTATTTTTCTTTGTCTAGGCAGATTTGAACTGAAATTTGGAGGACGTTGCATCTCTTGCTAAAATGTACTAAACACTTGAGAATTACCTTCTATAGGAGGTCTTCTTAATGCCAAGCTCTGCTTAATCATTTCTCAAAAACTAAGTCTAGTCCATTTTCTAAGACTTCATTCATGACTTTTTGCCAGATAATATCTAAACTGAAAGCATATCCAAAGAGTGTTCATGTACGTTCATCATAGCTGGGTAGAAGATGAAACTGGTTACGCTGGGAGAAAACAAGATTTGTTTCAGAAAGCCCAGTTCTGCAAGGATAACCACTGTGATTGTTTTTCATGCTGAAATTCTGGAGTTAAACTAATACCCGTAACACGATAATTCAATTGCTGACAGAATTGCTGACGGTTTTTTGTGTGTGTGTGTGTGTGTGTGCACGCAGAAGTCAGATGGCTGGTGCAGAAGAATCCATTTGTTTTAAATGCATCGTAAGATGCTTGCTTTCTGGGATCTTTTATAGTGCCTGCTCCTTACTTAGAATATAAATAAAGTCAGCAAGAATTGCACTTTTCTGCTGCCTTTAGAGTTTTTTTTTTTTTTTAGTGTTAACTCAGAAGGTTGAGGAAAGTGATAAAGTCATGTATTTCTGTCTGGTGTAAAAAAGGCAATGTGAGTATATTCAAGTAGCAGATGGTCCAAAGCTCCAAGCTGATCTGAAACCTGTGTTTTGAATTATATTATGACACACTGAGTCTAATTCTGCCTTCCTACCCATGTTTCATATTTGAAAGTCTGTAACTGTCAGAATTTCTACAGTGGAAACCACTGCAAAGCACAGCGCCTGTCAGACCCATGACTGATATCTAAAGACTGTTTTTATCATTATGCATCTATTGAGTGCGCAATGATCTTGGTGTTTTCTAGGTATTCTCATATGAGAGTGGCAAACTTCAATTTGAATTAAACATGCACAATTCTGTCTGCCAAAAGCCTACCATTTTATTTCTTTCTATCATTTTTCTTTCAAACATACCTGTGTGTGCTTTTTTTAAAAGAGCAGGCCTTCATCAGTCATCTCGGTCTAAGAGGGATATTTTTATTTCTGATAGTGGGAAGATGAGATTTGACAGAGACTCACTTAAGTGGATTCAGTTGAATGACTAATTAATATGACATCAACGCAGCCTTGCAAAATGTATGAAACGTAATTGCTCCTGTCAACTTACGACAGTCTCGTTCACTGCTGCAAGCTGGGACTACTAAGGTCCATGTTTTGTTTGTTTTCTAGCACCTTCAGCTTTCCAGTGGTGCTTGAGTAGACATAGTCCATTTTCTAGTCAAAGATTTTATCTGCCATAATAAGTAGATTCGACTTACCCACAGTTTGCTTGCAAGATCCCATTAATTTTTTGGGAAATTTTCGACAGAAAAGAATACCCTATTGTACTTGCTGAGTATGTTCTTTTTCTTTTGATTTTATTTGTATTTGACTTGTAAATTTTAAAGGTTAAAGAAATCTCTGAAACAGAAAAGAAACATACTTGTGTCCAATATTCTTTTTTTAGATTTTTTTTCAGGAAAAATTATACATTATTGTGACTCATAAAACCTATTCTCTACTGATTTCAATAAGTAAAGCACAAATCACGTGTTTGCACAATAACAGATAAAATGCAATATGCGCAAATCATTTACAACAAAAACACGTAAGAATGCAAAGAATATAATAATGCCATTACAACTCTACATCTGCCACTCTACAATCATTGCATAATCACAGTAGATCTAGACAAAGAAGCTGATGTCACTGATTTTGTTTTGTACAAAGCACATCTTACTGTTAATGCAAGACATAATACAAGAACTTTGAGCAATAATAATCTGAAACACCGTTGTTATTTTCTGTTATCTGTTTTAGTTATGCAGTTATATCAAGATTAACCCATCCTCTCACTGAGACACTTGTTTCTAGAGCTCTGAATTAATCTAATAGATTGCATCATTTGGAGCATGAGTGGTTTCTAGAAACAAAACTTCAACGGAGAGGCTGCAAAGAAGTACTCCTTCCTGAGCAGGTAAATAGATCTCGACTGATAACGATATCACCATCTTATCTTCTACAGGCACCCCAACAATTTGTGTCACTGTCTGGGCAGTGCTGAGACTTCACTTTGATGATACTGGGTACGTATCACCACGTGAGAAATCGTTTCACGAGCGTTCAGCACTATGGCAGGGATGGAAGAGCAGCATAGAGATCAGACCACAGGACTGAGACTAGTTTCCCGTTCAATTTCTGACGCTGTTTTGGATATGCAAATGGCTTAGACCCAGTATTCAGTCCAGAGTGTTTTCTCGTTAGCTGCGTAAATAGACATAGTTCAGTGTTTATGTTCCCATTCCACCACTGACCTCATGAAAGCAGATCTAGGCAAACATGCAGCTGGCCCTCAGTTCCCTGCTCAGTGAAACTACTGAAGACCAGGATATGACTTATCTTGTCCTAAAATAGCTTTCACGTGAGTCACACCTGTGTTTACCTACTTCTGTCCAAGTGAGAATGAAGGAAGGTGACAGTGATGAGCTCAGTTGTAGAAAACGTTGAAGATAGCACTGAGGAGGTGAGTGAATTCCACACAAGGAGCTGCTGATCTTAAATTTACAAAGTCGGTTAGGAGTTTAGTCTGCAAGGCTGCAGAGATCCTGTATCCTCTTCTGAAGGACCTGAAGGAAAGGCTGCTACCAAGATGGTCACATGCATCCAAGTAGTCAGTAGACTGACTGGTCTGACAGAACAGCAGCCACAGCTGGTAGGAATGAACATGTAAATAAACCCTGAATATCAGCCAAACTTAGCAATGTTTGTTCACAAGAGGTTATGTCTGAAATTGCCCAAATCATAGAATAACTGTTGGGGGATGAGGGGTTTTAATTAAAGTTTGGAAAACCTGGCAGCGGTCAATGAAAACCCTCAATCGGAGTGAAAGGTACCATTATGTGCCCAAGCCCCATTTGCAAGGGACTTAGACTCACATTTTAGCTTCCCCTTCTATTAGAGATTCTGGGAATCCAAAATTTGCACAAGGCTCACTGTTCTGTTAGGTTTTCTTCATCCTCTTTCTTTTATGGTCTTTTTGGAATGCACATAAAACCCTTCCTCCACAAAGGATTCCATTCCTTTGACCCTATGTTCTATTTTGACATTAAAACAAATTAAATCACTTATTTCCATGCAAAACAAGCGAGAAACCCCTGTTGTGTCATTATTATGATTACAACACTGGTCCTAAATGCATTAATTTCTCTCAGGAGTCCAAACAGTCCCTGTGCTTTGCGAGCAGGGGAAATATCTCACAGAAGGAAAAAGAAAAAAAAAAAAACAAAAAAAAACCCTTTCCTTTCTTTTAGAAGAAAAAATTAGCATGCAGCACATTTAGGCAGATTCTAGCTGAGCGTCTCAGTGGTTACTTTTAAAAATCAGCGAGCATTGTTCTGGGGGTGGAGAAGAAGCCAGCATGAGCCTGAAAACATTGCAGAAATTACAGAACGGGGAAACCATAGTCACAAAGGGATGGACTAAAATACAGACTCTGAGTCTGAGTCTCCTCTTGCTTGCTCCTTACAAACCTGGCAGAGCTGCCTCGACTTCAGCTCCTGATTCATATCACTGTAAGTGACAGGTCTGGGGAGATAAATGCAACGGTCTGGTTATCCAGAGCTGTGCAACTGAATTAAATGGAGTTATTCCAGATGCACGACAGAGATGTAACAGCGATTAGACTGTGGCTTTTTCACGTGGAAATGGCATGCCTCCTCCCTCTCGCATCTCGTTGGCTTCTTCCTCTTTACCCCTCCTGAAAAAGCATCCTATACAACACCTGACCTCCACCATAGCAAGGCGTTCGGAATGAAATTGGGAAGCCTGCTTACATAGTACAGCTTGTTGGCTGATCTTACTGACTGACTGCTCTGTTTTGCATTGTGTTTTAGTTTGTTATTATTTTTGATTTTTTTCCTCCTGATCATGTTTGTCTCTGGACCAAAGAAGTCCTTAAAAAAGCCTTTATTTGGCTTCGCCTGATTCACTATTGACATCTACGAGGTTGAAACAGGCAGCTGAGCATCTTGGGCAGGCTACCTGTAAAAGGAGAGGAATAGGTCAAAGAAGAGGAACAGGCATTTCTAGGGAACGATTTCTCTCTTCCTAAAGTACGCCTTTAGGATGCTTCAGTGGAAAAAAAGTCTGCAAGTGCTAATTTGTCCTCACTGGAGTCCAGGGTAACTAGCTGGGTTGTAGATTTCTTCAATATAGATGACTGAAATTATAGTAAGTAGAGTCTACCCCTTTTTATTTCACTTTCTGACATGGAGAGATTTTCAGAAGTAGCCACCTGATTTAAAAATGTGCACCAGGATTTTCAAAAATAATTGATGACTTTAGGTACTTCTGTTTTGTGTCATACAACTGTAGATGACTGAAAAGAGCCTGATTTCCAGACAGTGGGTAAGAAGGGAAGTACCCTGCCTCTGAACTTTTGTCCCCTTTTAAGTATTTCAAGTTGGGCATCCAAAATGAGGTAACTCAAAAATGTTACTTTGCATTTGAAAATCTCAGCCATCAGTATAATAGATTTTGCAGTGGGAGGAGAGGGGCTAAGTTTCTAGGATTTGCAGATAGAAGGACAAATATGTGATTTTGTGTGAATTTGACCTCCAGTCTCTAAATTTCCTCTCTTCTCGCCTACACTACCACACACACATTTACTGTTTGGTTTATCAGAGTCCAATAAAATATTGCATTTATAAGTGCAGAGGAAATTTCTAAACCAGACATCACCCGACTGCTTGGGATTTCTCTTACGTGCTCTTGGGTGATGGAATTTTAGCTCTGTCTCCTCACACTTATACATGTATATAGTCTTTTTTAAAGTTAAGGTTTTCACTTTTCTGCGAAATACTACCAGACTGCCATTTAAATGACATAAAAGTTGCATTAAGCTCTCATAAGATCAGTGATGTTTTATTCCTGTATGTTCCTTCAAACTATTATTTGGCATCTAACAACGCACCATGACAACCACTGCTAGGATTTCTGGCTGTTGTCCCAGTGGGAGGGAAACTCTCCTGCTCAAAATTTCAGGTACAAAGTAGACATTTTAATGTGACTTTACGTTTTCTAGGAGGAAAGCAGGACAGGAATGAAGTGGAGATGAATGAAAGAAGATCTGTAACTGATATATTTTTTAATGACTTAAGAGTTGTAACGAAAATACTATGCAGGACAGGAAATAAGATTTTTTCATCATTTTTATTTTTCTATATATGATATACTAAGGTTGAAAGCATATATATGTGTATATATTTACATATATATATATATATATATAATATCCTGCAAATATTTTTCTCTACAAATGAATATCCAAATAGATCTGTGTAGAATAAACTTCAAGAGAAGTCTCTGGTGAATCTGAAGGAAGATTTTAAATGCACAGGTAGAAATGTTATTTGAGTTATGATTACTTGCTACCGACAGCTTAAAAAGCTCCTATAGGAGCTGACCCCAGCTTCTGTACAGGACTTGAACCTTCTCAGATGAATCCCTGTTCTTTGGTAGGACTTGCCACCTAAAGACTGGAAGACCATTCCTATATGTAAATAAAATCAGCTTCTAGTCCATCCTGCTGTATTAGATATATACCAGAGTACTCATGTCAGGAGCAGAAACCTACATTCATATCTGTTAATACTGGACATGTGACTTAGATATCTAATTTACGAATATCCAGTTCTTACCCTCTTATGTATCCCTGTCTTTCTACCCCCTCCACAGAGACACTTGAGTTGCCCGATTCTTAACTACAGTGTGTTAAATAAAAGCCTGAAATCTCTTGGGCCCAAAGCACAGATTTTCAAATGAAGGTACAGAAACACGCATAGAGGGGTTTTCCAAAATGTCTAAACTGTTTAGCAACTTCAGATACAGAGGAAGTACTGAAATTGCCATTTTTAGATGAGTCAGGTAAAGGTTATAAAAGAAAGCTACACCAGGGAGCGACTAAGGAGTTACTACCTTTTGAATCCAGATAAGGTAGTTTAGGTACAAGATCAAACTCCATCTCTCTCCCCACTCAGAAACTGTCTTAATGTATTAACTTCCTTGCCATAGCTTCATTTTTTTCCCCCTCTTTTTCCCCATCCCATTCTTTCATTCATAATTGCAGCTGCTGGGACATGAATGACAACACTGCCTTATGGTGGGTGATCAAAGGTCCTGTGGTTGGATCAATCATGGTAAGTAGTACTCAGAGGAGACACTTCTTCAAGGCTTATGAGGGGGAAGGTTGGATCAGCTTCTAACAGCTTTACAAACTACGGTGCATCAGCTGCGCTGCACTAATCAGCAGTTTGTCTGAAAGTCCACTATTTCCCATGCAAAATGCTAAGCGACTCCATTCCTCGAAAGAAGGTTAAAATACAAGCTAAATGGTGTTGCATTGGCTGCAAGCAAAGACTACTCAGACAAAGAGTTATTCAGCCGCTTAAACAGACATCAAATACCAGAAGTAAGACCCCAGGGCATCCATGGCATTTGCATGGTGTTGGCATATATGACATGGGATATATGTGCCCTTTGGGGCGGCAGCTGAAGGCCAAACGTGATACCTCAGGGCATTTAAAATGACACTAGATGCCAATGTCTAGGAAACCAAATTGCTTCTTTAAGATGGAATTCATTTTTCAGCTACATTTATTTTGTGTTATATTAGATTTATAATAGTATTATGGACACAGTAGAAGGTGTTCAACTGTCAGTAAGTATCTAAGCTTTCTTAATGTAAGCTAATGTAAGCCTTAGGTTTGACTCAATTGACTCTAGATGCCTATGTATGGACAACCGAGAAGCTCTAAGGTACCCCGCTTGGGTTTAAGCTGTTGCCCCAAAACAGTATGGGAATTTCAAAAGGTATTGAGTTCTTCCATTTAGGAAATTAAATTGGGCCCACAGTCGCTATGGTTAGTGCTAATTTAAAAAGCTGTTTGACTTACCACCTATAGAGGTCTACTTCTGGGCACACTGAATCGCTCTCTAGACTCAAGTAACTGTATTGGCCAGGTTTCCATTTGCTGTTGGGGCAATCAGACACCTAAATGACAGATAGACATATAGATGTAAGGTATCTTTTTAAAGAATAGTTACCTTCGCTTCACAGGCACCAAACATTAAAGAAATCTAGCAAGGGAATCACAGATTTCTCCAGCCGTTTGTAGTCATCACATCCAGATGGAAAATTCTTCTGATAGAGATGCTGACTCTGATGGAGATGCTTTCGTTTATTGATCTCCTTACAGGATTAAAAGGTTGCATTTCTGTGTTTTGCAAGAGACTAACTTAAATGCCGTAGTGTTTTCTTCTGGCCTTTAAGAAATTACGGAGTTGGTGATAGCCAAATCTGAAGCCAAAGTATCAAAATGAATTATTTTTACTCTTCATCTCTAAAGCTTTAAAACTGCACTTGTAACGAGATGGTGTTATGAAGCAGCAGATGCCCAGGACAATATGAAGCAAGAAGACATTAAAAGATCATTAAAAAAAAAAAAAAAGACATTAGAGGTCACGCCATCTTGGGATAGATTCAGCCAAGCACAGGGAAAGTGGCACAACTTGGGATTTTCAGCCAAAGGGAGACGCTAAATTGTAGCTAAAGCAACTGCTAATGGGTGTTGTTTAACCGCAAGATGCCTTAATTCAGAGAATGAGAATTAAAGACACTCACTACCTCTTACTTTTGAGATTTACGCTGCATGGTTTTGACAGGGAGGGATCTTTCTTTTCCTTCCTTGCAATGGTTGGCAGTGATAAATGTTGAAACTTTTTGGTTTCTGTTTGTCTCATCCGGTGCTTGCAACCAGATGCATTGTTCCTTATTTTGGCCTGTGTCAGGGGGATATTTTGGCCTGAAAATGGTGCAATATGCCCTGTGTAAAGTTATCCCGTTACTCCTGACCCTATAAAGCTCTTAGAGTGAAGTTTGGAGAAGAATAAGGCAACAGAGTCATGAAGTCACCGTGAATGCCTCATTCTCCCAGCCCCCTCCCCGCCCCCCCCCCAAAAAAAGCATTTTCATCATTTTTTCCTTTCTTTTTCCTCTAGATAAACTTTGTGCTTTTTATTGGCATAATTGTGATACTCGTGCAGAAACTCCAGTCGCCTGATATTGGGGGCAATGAATCCAGCATTTACTTGTAAGTACAAATAAAGCAGTAACCAATTCAGATTTCTAATATACACATAGGAAAAAAAAAAAACCAAAAAAGACACCTTGGCTGAGTTCGTCTGACTTATGGAAGAGTCACAGGACCTATTAACATATTTGGTTGATTTTTTTTATTTTTTATTTTTTTTGTAATTCAAAAGCCACTAAAATGCATTGTAGTGTCGGCTTTTATCTTTCTTTAAAGAGACTAGAAAAAAAAAAAGAAGAAATACAAGATAAAATATGAATGCTAATTTACAGGTCAGTTGTCTGGAAATCAACATAATGACCAGGTTTAAATATTATTATGTTCATGTGACAGTTTGCTGTGCTTCATACGTTCAAAGGATATGATCCAATGTTCACTGAAAGCAATACGATTTGTTGAAAGGCTTTCGTGAATTTTGGACCAGACTCTATTTTAGGAAGATCTCCTGAGCTTACATATGTTCCTGTTTCTGATAATTTTGCATCCATTCAATGTAATCTAAGTAAGTCCCCCACATACCTAGAACTGCTTGAAAACTTACAACAAATCTTTACATTTTCCATCAGAAGTTTTAAAGCTGTATTTGTCATTTACTTCACCATATTTTAACGCTGAGGACCTTTTAGTTAGATTCCACCTCATTATAGGGCTGAGGTTGGCAGTTTGAGAAGGTTTCCGTTCACATCTGTTTTGAATGCATGCATTCATTCTACATATAAAAATAATCTTATATTATTATTTTTTATAGCTATGGAAAGTTGCAGCACATTTTGATGTTTTCTAGGCTTTGCAGCGTAAACACCACACGCATTTATTATGCAGTTTTTTGACAGGCTGTAGCAATTTCTGGTGCTCGTAAACACAGCTAAGGCTAAGTTTTTGATTTAGCCCTGGCTTCCCTCCCTAGTAAAGTAAAATCCAAGGTATGAGAACCTTAATTAATCATAAAATATATCAGGGTAAAGTAGGAGGCCCTTATTTTATAGGACTAGTTTTTAAAATAATATATCTGGCGATCGATTTCACTCCATTATACCCATAGTATAATTGTGTGATCGTTCTAAATGGCCGTTTTTGGTAAAAATCTGTCCTCCAGCTGCCTATTTTTCTCCTCTTTCTTTGCTAGTGTCTCATTTATATTTGCATGAAACGATGACATTTTTCTGCATCACTATTTTCCTCTCCACAGTCAGACATCCACTCCCTGAAAGTATTTCCCTCGAAGCTTGCTCGAAACTGTGTCCCCCCAGACACAGGTTCTTTAAATTCATTCTGCAGGTAGACGTTTCTCAGAAATATAACTCAGGAGAAAGTGCAGCGAATAGGTTAACTGTCTCCCATGCATGGTTTGCCTACGGTTCGCGTGAAGACTTCCCATGTATGTGCTTATGGGAAGTCATCCACTGGATCTCGGATTGTGATTAACCCCCAAGATGTGCAGAGCTAGTTCTTATTACAACCTGCTAGGTGCATGTTTGGTGTCTGCTGCACATCTTTCACATATGAAGCAAAGCATGCTTTAAATTCCAGTGATCTGACTAGGCTATAAAACATCCTTGCCGTTTTTTGATCAATATGGTGACTGGGTTTTACCGAGATTTTTCCTATGTGTATAGCTGGCAACCAAAACCAAGAGATAACATCATATTTTCTGTTTCATTCGCTGCCATTATTTTTCATATTTCTTTGCAACTTTATAAATGGGTGTGTATAAATCGATCTTGCATTTATGTATGTGTTACGAAGTGGAGTGTTGTTTATCCAAACAGATTCAGCAACAGAAATGTCACGCAGAAAAGACAAAAATAAATGAAAAGGATCAGTCTGTGCAGTCATACACCAGGCATAAGAAGTATTTATGTGCACATATTCTGTAAAAAGAGAGCTGTTATAATAAAGCAAAAAGATAGATCACAGTATGTTTATGTCACCATATTGAAATTTCTGTGGCACTTAGACTGTGGTCCATATTAAGCATTTTCCATATCCTATTTTGCTATTTCAAACTATTAAATGCTTAAAACTCATTTCTTTATCACATAAATATGCAAAACACAGATCACATACTTTCAGTCCTTGCCTAGCAGACTGATGAACCCCAAGCGAGATGCATGCTAATAACTACTTATTTGAGCCTTATATTTTCGTGCTAACGGACTGTTTTGAGAATATCCTTGTTCAATGCAATCCTGCCAAGTTAAATGAGAATACCTCCCCACTCTCAGCATGAAATCGCAGACATTATTGGCATGAAGAAAAAGAAAAAGCAAAGCATTGTAGTAAAAAAAGCTGGCAAGTGCTTGTCCCAGCAACATCCAGCCGGACACTGTGCAATTCTAGGGTTTCACAGTCTTTATAGTTAAAAAAAAAAAAAAAGTAGTTTGATTCAATTCAAGTCATGCCATTAGACCAAACTTTTCATCCAGGGCTTTATTGAACAAAAAATTTGAATACCTCACTGTTACTACACGAGACAAACCAGCCACAGTTCAGAAAAGATGCTCAGCCTGTTTCCAAAGGCAATATCCCATGATCTCTGCAATAGTGATTGTGATTTACGCTGGTATCAGTCTCTGGAACCACCCTTTATTTGGAAGTCATGTTGCCTGGTCTGAGCTTCAGCCATCACATGAGCGCTGGTCACTGAAGCCAGGTTACTGCAAAGTCGTAAAGGGTAGCTTAAACTTTCTGCAGTTGTTTAATTTACACCAACTGACTTTTTCACTCGTGGAGATAAAAGATATTCACACAAACCCTTCCTGCTTCTTCAGCGGAAGGGTAACACCTGGTGGCAAGAAACTGAAATGGGAGCTGTGCAGTTTCTGCAGTGATTAGGTACCTATGTGTCCGTCAGACTGGAATGAGGCACCTGATGAAATGTTTTGTTGCCTCAGAATTTCCTGACACTTGAAATTCATAAAATTATGTGGAAATTTGACCCTTGACTCCAGATAAATTACCTGTACGCACTCTACAACCAGGTTACGAATTAGTGTAGCAATGGTTAGAAGCCACTTGCAAAAAAATGCTGAACCAACAGTACTCTTTCCACATTTATGCAAACCACCTGTAACTCAAGAATTACAGTTAAAAACAAACAAATAATAAAAAAAAAACACAGACACAGACACAAAAACTTGGTTATTGACTTTGGACAGGATTTATTTTCTTCTTATCTGTATGGTATGCTGTTGGGTACAGGCCCTTTTATTTATTAGGAAAATCTGCATCTGATCCCGTTTTATAGACAGTAAGGTCATGATTCTGCAACTCACTCAACCTGTATTTGACTTTACAAGCGTTAGGGCTCAAATTCAAAGATTCATTGCATATTGTTACCACAGTGCATTCATTATTAACAATCCCCACTGCCCAAGTTAGCTGCAAGCTATGACAGGAACACTGCAGAAGAGTGCACTCCTGGGGAACCGATGCTTAATTAATATAGTGCAGCCACTAGAGATTGCAAAATTTATAGATGTATATGTGTATGTATATATGCATATATAAAAAATAATCTGTACAATGAGCGTTTTACTCCCATAAAAAAAAAATAAAAATCAGACATTCTCTCTAAATAACCTTCCTGATGATCATTATCGGTAATAGCCTTTTTTCTTTAGACTGACAAAAATTAGGAAACATTTAACTAATTCCTAACAATTTTCTGCAGCAGTCAAAAGCTTTAGTAATTGTTAACTTCCATTTTACCAGCCTGTTTGTTCAATCATTCATTACCAGTCTCATGCCTAAGCAATCTCTCATCACACTTTTAGTTCCCCTTCAAAATTGCCTGCATGCTGCTGATCCCATTTCAGATTGAATGGCTCAAAATGTGTCAGATCCTGAGAGAACAATAAGTCTATGATTATTTTAGTGATGTTTTAGATAGAAGCTCCTCCTTATGATTTAAATGACTAGAGTTAGACTCATCAAAAACATCTAAGAAGACAAGATAGGAATTAAAGAGAAGAAGAAGAAAATAAAAGCCACCCTTGCTAAAGCTTTTTTTTTTTTAATTTTAAGAGTCTTTTTTATATCTGTATTTATATTTTTTCCCTGAGAACTTTAAGCAGCTTTCATACCTCCTCCCTGTAATCATTGTAATCTTTACTTACTTCTTAAAGTTAGCAACGAGTGGCCAAGGGCAAACCTTTTTTCCTTGGACCATGTTCTGTTTTCAGTTAATCTTGTGTCAGTCCTGAATAGTTCCACTGAGTCAAACATCAAAGCAAAGCCAACCTAGTAATGCAAATACAATTGATTTTAACCTGAGTGAGAAGCTCTGAGATCCTCAGGTGAGCGTTGCCTGAGAAGCTTAAAGTGATGTTGATTCTATTCCTACTGTGGTTATGATAACCAGCTGCGTAGTCCAGATGGGTTGGTTGTCCCCTCTAGTGAATGAATTATGTAAATATTTTTAATCTCTCGTAGTTACACTCACGACATACTTGGTCCTATAGTACAAATAACGAGTTGTGTTTGCACCTGCATATTCAGTCCAGATAGATTTTGCTCAATGTGCTTCCAGATTGAATGCCTGCTCTCCCCCCTTCTTAGAAATATCTAATTATGCCATTTGCAAGTACTTCGAACAAGCAGTAGGTTATTCAGGGCCACTGTTACAGCCTATGTTGAAATGCATGTAGCACCTAGCAGAAGTCCCTAAACCCAATGTGCACTCGCACTTTTCTGGATGGGAAATGCGTATTCACAACCCTATCACGGCTGGCTCAGCACACTGCATGTCACATCAAGTCCACATTATTTGCACGTGTTTTCATGCATCGGTCCCTGAACTGGAGTAGAAGTTAGTACTAATAACTAATAAAGCAGTTAGTAAGTTTATCCCCCAAGATGTCATTATCTTTCATGTGAGAAACCCAGACAGTAGTGTGTAACATGACATGTTGGAATCTGAGTTCAGGCATCCTGGTTTTGGTTAAGCTGTTGTAGAGGGAATGCACGCACCCAGAAAAGTCATATTCCTATAGAAATCC